TGAAGCACTAAGGTTGTTACTTGAGGAATGGATGGATGCCAAGCGTAAATTAGAGGAGAAGCTCAACCGGGTCTTGGAGAAGTTTGAAGAGATGGAAGCTCACAATGGCGCAGAAGATGCAACTGTCATCATCAAGGCAGCCACAACCGACCTCAGGGAGGCATCATCTCCAACACCCAAGACATCGCTATCTCCAGTGTGCTTCAATGAAAACAGCATGCATGCGGCAACGAGCTCAAGCCACAACATCGAGCTGACTGCCTTGACGGTTGCCAAGTGCTTGAAGGGGTGCTCTAATCATGGAGTTGGAGCTGGTAGCTTGATGCCCACAAGGTGCCCGACGAATTGCTCAAGTCCCGGCGTCATACCCGACCACACCATGGCTACGGTGGTTGCATGTGCCACCACTTCTATGGCGTTCATGGAGTTGGTTGTTGGAGAGGAGGCAACCTGTGACACCTATACCGGGACCACTAATTGTCCTGAGGTGACACACACCAAGTGTTCGACATTGGGCCTTGACGTCAAGGGTGACACCGACCAAGTCATGGTCGCATTCCTGGCCCAGCCTTGTGTGTTCCTTCTCAACATGGACAACACAGGTACCAAACTAGTAAACATGGTAGAGGTGACTAGTCTACAGACTTGGGCACCTCCCTGTCGAGTCATATGCAAGGGTTCCCTGGTTAAGAAGCATCCAGCAACTTGGTTAGAGTTTGAGTGGAAACAACATGATGTGCAACAGATACAACCATGGCCACCGCCACAGTGGCTAGAAACTTGGTTATTCCTTAGTTGTTTTTCAGATGTAGCGCCACATGATTCAGTGAGCCCATTCATCATTGACATAATACCTTATGCACTAGATGATAGGGAAGAAATGCTCAGGAGATCAATTGAGCTGAGGCCCTGTACACATCCACAGTATTTGGGGAAGGGGAAATATTGGGCAGGAACAGCTATGTCCTATGGAGGCAATCACCTGTTAGCAGTCAAAAGGTTATTGGCAAGGTTCAAGGAAGATTTCTCTATGGTTCCTAGTTGGATGAGCTGGAATTATGTGAGAAGAATATTGTGGTCTCCGGGCTGTTCTCTGCTTTCTGCTAGAGAACTTTGGAAGTGTTTACAGTTATTTTGTGGTAAAGGAGAATTGTTGGATGGTGAGAGTTTTATGCAGCGAAGGAGATCGAACATGACATCCTATGAGGTTTGCTGGGAAAGGAAATTTATATCAAAAACATATAGTGATTCTTCTCAGAATTGGTTCGAGTTGTATACTTCGCTCTCATCGGAATTATGGCATAAGCCCACTGGCTATAAACTGATGCAATCAGAAGCTACTTCTGGTGCAACATATTTAATTAGTGCGGATTGGACTATAACAGAGAGCTGCAAATTATCATACAAAATAACACTTGAAGATGGTGAAGTAGATGTGTACTGGTTGAATACTAAGGACCAAGAATTCTCGTATGAACAATTGATATTCCACAAAGAGGAGCTTGCTACAGTTTGGGTTTATCAAAGTACTAGTTTTATCAAAAGTAAGGGCAGTGGCAGGGTTGTCACCATTGCAGCAAGTACCTCATTTACCAACTCTATACCAGTGCCACTAGCTAGTCATGTTTGGAAGGAATTTTCTTGGACACTACATTATTGGAATGATGGGTCTGTGTGGAAATTATGGTTCTGTTATATGGTCTTTCTGATCAGTGTCAAACAAGCTGCGGTGCCTATGGATATCTTGGATGGAAACTTGGAAGAATCTGATCCAGCAAGATTAAAGATGTGGCCTGATCATCCAAAATATGTTCAGAGGCCGTGTGTAAATCAAAGGGATGAATTGCGTCTTAGTGCACCTGATCTACAAATATCATGGGATCCTGGTGGTTTATGTTTACTCAAGTTTCTAGCTATCTCTTCTCTTGGACAAGTCACATTTCAGTCAGTCAAATTCTCATTTCAAGACAGTTCTTCTCTCTTTCACATGCGAAGTGCCAGGATTTGCTTGAGCTGTTCTTTTGAGACGCAAGTTTTCTGTTGGCAAGCTGAAAACAAATTGGACATTGATGAAGCTTTTGGAACGATGCAAGAATACTGGAGAAATCAAAGTGGAGGTTTGCCATTTCTGCAATTTACTTGTCATCGACTTGTGGACAAGTCGAATTTCAAGGAGAGGAGATTGTCAGGAACCCATTGAGCTACACATGGGCTGACTCAATTGCTAATCCATGCCAAGGCCCAAACAAACAAAGGAGATGAATACAAAAGGCAGTAGCAGGAGAACTTCAAGCAACGAACAGATTCATCGACGGCTTCGGCCACGGCGGCGGCGGCGGCGGCTTGGTTCGGTTGAACCTCGTCGATCTCTATCTTTTTCTTACTCTCTCGTGTTCCTCTTCACTGCCACTTCTAGAAGCTTCCTCTACTTCTTCTCACTCAATTCCTCTTCTATTTTCTGAGATTGTATTGAACTCTATTGTTCTTGAGAATTCTGAGTTTGGAGGAAGAGGGTTGTTAACAGAACCTTTATGGTCGGCTGGCATTGCTGGCTCACTGACAGCCAGGAATTGCATATTTCCATGATTTGGGGTCCCTTAGCGTAGGATGTTTAGGCTCTGCAATAGGAAAATAATACCTTAGTTTCACAATCGAAATTAACTGTACCCAGGGGAAAAAAAAGGAAATTCTGTCCTATTCAATTTTAAACAGAGGGGCTGGTGATTGAATTTTCGAGTGCGTACACTGCAACATATAGATCTGTAATATGTAGGGAAAAGCAAAAACGAAAAAGAAGAAAAAAGCAATGGAGAGGTACCTTCATCAGGATCTCTTGCACGAGCATCTCACAGGTCTCTTCTCACAAGGCTATCCAACCGTGGCCGAATGTGTTTATATAGCGGCTTCGTATTCAAAGCTGGGCAATATCGGATTGTGATACTCGAAAGAGATGAGTAACTCCCCAGACCACATGGTAAGGATGCTAGACGTTTGCAGCTCACAAGATTGAGGGTTTCTACTGATGGCAGATCTCCCAAACGATTCAGTGACTCCAGTTTATTGCAGCTGTCAATGGATATATACTCGAGTGCATGTATACAGCTGCCGTTAGACGGAATGAAGCTCGGGACATGAATAAATGTTTAGCCTCTTGAGAGATGATGGTAGGTTCTCAAGTGCTACCATTTTAGGACATACCCAGACATCTAGTCTTTCTAGGCATGGCAGAGGATGGTCTGCTGCTGATGGCGATTGCTCTGGCAGGCTTGTGCACGCACGATAATTGCAATGCTTTGATGATGTAAATGTGTTGTGATGATCTACCTGTACACTCTCGGACACTATATCCCCCTTCCCCCATATGAACTCAAGTTTAGAGCAAGGTGTGCTTCTATGCTCCTTAGAAAAAAGTTGCACGAAAACCAAAGCTCATCAATGGCTGAGATTAAAAGCGAATTAACAGTGTAATCATCATTAGTGAGGGGGTATTTTTGTCCATATAATTTGGAGCCCAGTCTAACTCCACCGTAACCACGCGCACCGCCCGCTTTTCACTCGCGTCGCCGCCACTGCTCCGCCCTCTTCCTCCCCCGCACCGCCGCCTAGACCCAGCACCCATGGATACGTGCGGCGCGGGGGAACCAGAGTAGGCGGTCGGCCGGCGCCGTTGTGGGGAACGGGTGATGCCGATGCCGATGGAGCACTGCCGCCTCGCTCCATCTAATCCGGTTAGCCCCGCCCCTGATGACCTCCCGGCCGTCGCCACTATTTGCGCAACAAGATTCGCCTTGAGCGCGAGGAGCCGAGGACTACGGTAACGTGGACGTCGAGCACGCCGCCGTGCCAGCAGCTGTCAAGCGGCCCTAGCAACAGCTGAAGCAGCAGCTTTTTCGGCGCCATGATTTACCCCTCATCCAAGGCCAAGTTGCCATTCCAGCTTGTGCCTTTTGGCTTGTTTGATCTCTGTCTGCACTGCAATCGCCAGTTTGCTGCAAGTTTGATGTGATCATGTGAATTGTGATCGTGGATATATTGGTGGTGACTGGTGAGCTGTATAAATGAATGGGGGAGGCAGAATGGCACGCAGATGCTTGTTTATGAGTATGTTCCCAATAGAAGCGCCTATACACATTTACATGGCGATTCCTCATGTGTTCTCATAACATTCTTTTCATGGAAGAAGAGGACGGAGAGGCGGCACTGCTTGCAGGAGGAAGCCGGGTGGCGCTAGACTGAGCGGCGCCGGGGCCGGGAAGCGGTGAGGCGAGGGGAAAAAAAGGCGGAGCGCCGGGGCCGGGAAGTGACGAGGCGAGGGGAAGAAGAGGGCGGCGCTGCTTACCGGACGGCGTGGCGATGGAAGCGCTGGCATGCTTCCGCGGCTGAGGAGCGGCGCTGCCCGAGGAGAGAGCGTCACGGTCGCGGAGTAACCGGCCTAGTGGTGGGGATCGCTTCAAAGTTAATCCTATGGACAAAAATACCCCTCGCTAATAAGGATTAAGTGTTAATCATGTTTTAATCTCAGCCACCGGTGAACTTTGATTTTCGTGCGCTTTTTTATTTAGGAGCATAGAAGCACATCTCTGATTATAAACATATGTGAGAGATGGGGGGAGAACGAAGAGCTCTCTCAAGCTATCACAATTGGAAATTTCAAGTGAGGTTAGACGTGGCAGGAGCTGATCCCTTGCACAGCAAGGTGGCTCTCCTTTCACCAGCGTGGGACGCCCTATTAGCTTATCACATCCCTCAATGCCCAATGTCTTCAAGGATACTAAGCACAGGAACTCTTCCTCTGGCCAGTAGATGAGCACACCACAGAACCAGATTTCCAAACACACAAGTTGTCTAAGGCATTTCCAAAACATGATTATTGGTTGTGATGGGCTCGTGGGGAAGAAAAAGTTGCAGTGCTTTAAGTCCAGTTCTGAGAGAGATGATTCGTGAATCTGATCAAGCTGCACTCTTCCTTCTTTGTCATCCACGTCCAGTATTAGCTTGGATTTTTTTAGATAATGGAAGCTTTTATTAAACTCAGTCAATTACATCAAGGTGATACAATTATCCTGAGAACACTTCCGGCCTCTGCATAACTAAGATGCACACCGCCGAACAAACAAAACGACACTCGAAAGGAAAAAAGAATGACATGGAGTATTGAGGACCATCAATCTAACGACTAAATTGCCACTCATGAACAACTCCTTGGCCATCTCCTCCAAAAGCACAGAGTTTTAAGGACCACCAATTCTAAGACTAGATCACCACCCATATCCCTGGGTAAAAAACTCCTTGACCACCTTCTCCAAATGTTGACATGCCGCAACTACCATATCCCGCGAATCAGGCTTCTGTAGGATAGCCCATATACGAAGCCAATGGATAAGAGAATATATAACCTGCAAATGTGAAGATATGACTTTTTTATCAAAAACCACATTATTCCTGTATAGCCAAAGCGACCAACAAGTAGCAGCTGCTCCTAACAGAACATGTGATTTCAAATTATTATGAATTCCATCAAGCCAGCTCCCAAACATATGCGCTACACAATGTGGTGGAGGAAGTCCAGATGCTGCTTGGATGATGGACCAAACAGAAAGGGCAAAACGGCATTCGAAGAAAAGATGTCTAATTGTCTCGTCATTGCAACAAAAACAACAATTCTTATTGCCTTGCCATTTCCTTTTTATCAAATTGTCCTTCGTTAACACCACTCCACGGCTTGGATAATGAGGACATGTAACTGGCTTGGATAATGAGGACATGTAACTGGATTGAAGTAAAAACAAGGACAGTTCGGCCTTGTTTTCATTTAGACTGAAAATCTTGAGCTTTGGTGCTTCGGGTAGACTCCTCAGTTTTGGACAGTTCCTGATGTCAGCCTTTTCAAGCAGAGGAAATGTTGATTCGTTTTCCACTAGTCTCTCTAAGCCCTCTAAATCATATAACTTGATTTTCTTTAATGCTGGAAATGGTGTGAAAGCCATTTCACAGCATAGTGTTTGCAGTTTTGGACATTTCTCTATTTCAACCTTCTCAAGCAGAGGAAACACTGGTTCATTTTCTTGTCTTCCTCCTGTTGCTACCCATCTCTCTAAAGCTTCCAAATCGTGCAACTTAATCTTCTTTAATGAAGGAAATGTTACGGATGCCATGTCAGGGATTAGTGTTAGAAACTTTGGACAGCTCTTGATAACAACGTTCTGAAGAAGATGAAATGTTTGTTCTTTTCCTTGTCTAACTTCCTTGCAACATAGGGTTTGCAATTTATCAAGTCTGATCAAACAGAGAACTTGAAGAGACTTAAATTGAATGAATTGAGGAAATTCTTCGCACATTGTACAACCCTCTAATTTGAGCTCCACCAAGTTTTGCAGTATACTTAGATCTGTCATCCATGCTGGAAAAATGAGTGCTTTTATAGGAAATTACGTTGAGCATCAGCAGCCCATGATGTGGTTTAAGAGCATCAAGAACCTTCCCATTGCAATTTGGTTCTTCAACACAGCATTCACTATTCCACACAAGAGATAGGCGTGCAAGTTTCTCTTTGTTTCTAAGATTGGCTGCTTTTGCATCTTCTTGAGATACATTTTCTAAGCCACGTAACTCTAGTTCACCACAGAGGTTTAAGCTGTGCAGTTCTCTAAGGGTGCTGCAACCAGAGCTAGCACCAACCACAAAATATGTTAGTGTCCGGATGGAAGTTAATTGCCCAAGCTCTGGAGGCATGCACTTCAATCTTAAGCATCCATTTGTATAGAGGTGACGTAGACTTGTCATATACTTCATATCCTTTGGGAGACCAACAAGAATTTTGCAATCAGAAAGGATCAAAGTCTGCAGATTGTACAGTGTGCATATATCTTCAGGAAGTACTTTGACATGATAGTTTCTGGAGATATCGAGATATCTTAGGTGCAGAAGGTGCCTTGGCCTGATTGGTAATGATTCTGTATTGAGATATCTCAGCCTTAGTGCTCGTAGAGAACTGCTCTTGGATAAAAGTGATGTTGAGATGTGAATATAGTCTCTGTCAAACAATAAAGTCCGGAGTGTTGAAGATTGTTTTCTCATAAAGTCATCTAAGAGAATAGTATTGTCATCGTCTAATGAGTAGAAGTGATACCTAGGATGCTCTAATGACTTACTTCTATAATCAGATCTGCCAACTATGCTGACACATTCTTCTCCCATAGCAGATTGAGCAATGTCATGCATAAGATCATGTATCTTGCATGTAGTTTGTAGAGGAAATTTCTGCACATCTTGAAAAAATGACCTCCAAACTAGCTCGTTGAAGATATGTTTGGCCACCATTTCTATATTGTCATCCTCTTGTAATGGTATCAAGTCATGTGCTAACCATAAGTTAATCAAAGTCTCCATATCAATCTCAAAATCTTTTGGGAATATAGCACAGAAGGCAAAACACCGCTTTATATGTAACGGTAGGTCATCATAGCTCAGACGAAGTATAGGAAAAATTATGTCCTCCCCCTCATTGCAAATGTTGCTCTTGGCTAATATATCCTTCCATTCTTGCAGAGTAGTCCTGTTAAATAACACCGAGCCAAAGGATTGGGCAGCTAAAGGAGAGCCATCGCATCTCTGCACAATCTTACGAAGAACTTCAAAATGCTCGTCACTTTTTTTTGACAAACTAAATGCTTTACTCTGGATTATTTCCATCAAATAAGCTTCTCCGAGCTTTTCAAGATTATGCACTGGAACTTCTCCAATAACCATAATTCTAGCAACTTCTGCATTTCGAGTTGTTGTTAGTACTACACTACCCATGCCACCCTTCTTAAAGCAGGTCTTTAGCTTTCCCCACTTATCAGAATCTCGATTCCATACATGATCCAACACAATGAGATACTTCTTTCCACCTACTTCTTTCTGCAAGTCCTGCAAAGCCTTCTCACGATCTCTCTCTGTGCTCATACATATGCTGTTTGCAATGGTGACAACATCAAACACATCTGACACACAACACCACCTACGAAGCGGGAAATACTTCTCAATTTCAGGGTCATTGTAAATGAGTTGTGCAAATGTAGTCTTTCCTAGCCCACCCATTCCGACAATAGGAAGAACTATGAGGTCCTTGCCTCTTGCTTCATCAAGCAACATCTTGATAATCTTCTTCTGCTCCTCATCTCTAGATCGGCTAATAATACCCTTCTCAGTATCAACCATGATGGAATCAGTTTGCCTCCACTGCTTTGGTGTTTCCTGCTGCTGTTTTATGAGTCCAGAGTAGTCCATCTCTGATATACAATCTTTTGCAATTTCTTACCCATCCTATAACGAAACACAATTGGGTTACGATGAGGGAAGAGGCTTACAATGCCTTTGCCAAGGGTAGCGTCGTGCCCCTTCTTCTTGGCTTCACGTCGGAGCGCCTCATACTTGAACTCGTCAAAGACATCGATTGCCTCGTAGGACACCTTCTTGAGTTCATCGAGCCAAGCGCTTAGTTCGGGTTTCTTACTTCTCTTCTCCTCCGTATCTTGGATGACGCTAAGGATAAGTGGAAGCATGCGCTCCAGAGCCTTACGCTGCTGCTCCATGCCTTCCATCACCTTGTACTGGTATACAAGGTAGCTGGAAGCTTTGTTCGTCACCGCGGAGAGCAGTGGCCTAACCAAAAACTCAGCCATCGTTGGTTCCCTCTAACACTGTAGACCTGAAGATTGTGGAATGAAGAAGATGAAGGCAAATACAACTAAAATGATATGCAGGAAGATGAAGCCAGATCTCCTAACCTCGTCGACCAAGATGTTTGTGGATCGGAGCAGCGCAGTCGCCGGTGCGGCACAGGGGAGGCGCTGGATGAGTCACGAAGGTTGGGTGGTGTTCTCCTTCTCTCGGTATGTAGCTCGCATTGGACTGACAGACGATGGAGGATGGTGGATTGCTGCTGCACACTGAGAGACGACTTATGGTTGTGTGGCTGGGTAGTGCTGGAGAAAGAGATGATATGTGAGAGATCACTTTGCTGGGTTGTTTTAGGCAAGGAAAAAGGTACTAATGCACAATTGAAATGATATGGTTGTGTGCACTGCATTAATTGTGTCTTCATCTGGTTGGTGAGGATGACATCTCGATAACTAATTTTTGGTCACCAAGGTTTTCACATGCATGCGTCCTGGTATTTTTGCTTCATTCATGTGCCATCTACTTTTTGCACATTGTTTGTGACAGTCAGTTATTTTACGCTGGGGGTGAAATTGTGGTGAATGGTTTTCAGTTGCTGAAATGTTTTTTTCTTTATGGACCTCTATTACTTTTTCAGCTATTTGTTTATTTAAAATTTAAATAAACTAGGCGATTGTCCCCTGTAAATCGTGCGGTCCTAGATTTTAGGCCCGATTTAGTCCTCAAAATTTTTTCCCAAATACATCATATCGAATCTTTGGACATATGTATGGAGCATTAAATATAGATAAAAATAAAAACTATTTACGCAGTTAGGGGAGAATTGCGAGACGAATCTTTTAAGCCTAATTAGTCCATGAATAGCCATAAGTGCTATAGTAACCCACATGTACTAATGGCGGATTAATTAGGCTCAAAAGATTCATCTTGCGGTTTCCAGGCGAGTTATAAAATTAGTTTTTTCATTCATGTCCGAAAACTCCTTCCGACATCAGTCATACGTCCGATGTGACACCCAAAAATTTTTTTTCACGAACTAAACAAGGGCTGAGTTTAGATCCAAAGTTTTTTTCCAACTTCCAACTTTTCCATCACATCAAAACTTTCCTACACACATAAACTTCCAATTTTTCCGTCACATCGTCCCAATTTCAACCAAACTTCCAATTTTGGTGTGAACTAAACACACCCAAGGCCTTAAAAGTAAAACTAGTCTATATACAACACTTCAATTATAAGAGCTTGTTTAGTTGGTGAAATGATAATTTTTGGATGTTACATCGGATGTTTGACCGAATGTTGGAAGGGGTTTTCGGACAAGAATGAAAAAACTAATTTCACCGCTCGCCTGGAAACCGCGTGACGAATCTTTTGAGACTAATTAATTCATCATTAGCACATGTGGGTTACTGTAGCACTTATGGCTAATCATGGACTAATTAGGCTCAAAAGATTCGTCTCGCGATTTCCGTCATAACTGTGCAATTAGTTTTTTTCATCTATATTTAATGCTCTATGCATGTGTCCAAATATTCAATGTGATGTTTTTGAGAAAAAAAATTTGGGAACTAAACCGGGCCTAAACTTGAATGTTTGATTGGAGACAGCAATGTAAATGTCAGTCGTGTCCATTAATTGGAGTAGAGTGATGGCAGAGTTTAGGGCAAGCACCATTCAACCAGTACTCAGAATACTCTCTCCGTCCCATAAAAAATCAACCTAGGTGAGAATGGGACATCATCTAAAATAACGAATCTGGATAGGAGGTTGATTTTTTATGGGACGAAGGGAGTGTTAGGATACGATAGGCAAATAAACGATGAAGAACAATAGATCAATCACAGAAGACACGAGGTTTTAACATGGAAAACCCTCCTAAGATATGATAGAAAAAAAAAACACGAGCGCCAGCCAGCAAAACTGCACTATATCAGATGAGGTTACAAAACGCCCAACGGCTGCTTCGCTCTGGCCCAAGCCTCTAGCGATGGGCCTCCACTTCGCTCAGTCCGAAATTGGCCTTTATATATATGTGTGTGCAAATGAATTTGGATCACAAATAAACAGGGAGTACTTGCCAACTTAGGCCATTTACAGTGCAAGGACGTGACGTGTGGCAATGTAGAGCCACGTAGGCAAATCGCTTGCGTGGAGGAGAGAGGGGAGTGGGGACCATTCCCAACCTAGCTTCGCGTGACCAAGTTTGGCCACACGAACCTCAGCAACTTTTGTCAAAAAAAAAAAGCACCTCCACGAGAAATAAGAAAGCGAGAGAGGGAGAGAAAGGAGGCTCGCCGGAGTAGGCGCACTTGGGGCGTGGGGCTCGGCGGAGGCTTGCCGAAGTAGGGGTGCTTGGGGAGCTCGCCGTCACTGCGTGGGGCTCAGGGAAGCCACCGCTGCGTGGGGCTCGCCGGAGTAGGGCCGCTCGAGGAGCCTCCCGAGATCCACCGCCGTCTTTCGGGTGGAGCTCCCGAAGCTCGCCACCCCCTCGCGCGCCGGTGGCGTTGGCGGGGTCCGCGTGCGGCTGCGCAGCTCCAGTGCTGCGCCTCCACCGTCGACGACGGTGTCGTCTCCGCCGCCGTCTTCCGCCGCACCGCTGGACGCCGCCGGAGCTGCTGCTTGTTGCCGCGTGGGCTGCTCCACCTGGTTGGAGGAAGAGAGGTGGCGTCGCGCTTGGGCCGGCCCGCCGCCGAGCTTTGCTGCGCCGGTCGGAGCACACCGCCATGGCCTCCCTAGAGAAGACACGAGAGGATTAGGTGGGGGTGGGGGAGGGGTGAGATTTTTTATATTATCTGTGGGTCCTATTATAAAGTTTCTAAACCACACTAGCTTGCCACACTTGAATTGTGGATGTAGTGTCTTTTGGAGTTCCCAGACCTACGTGGCAGTTGTGGCATAGCAATATGCTAGGACGCATTGCTACTGCCCTTAGAGCAGGTACAATAGCAGAGTATAAGCAAGCTGCAAACATATTTTAAGAGATAAATGAGGAGAGAGAAGGGCAGCGGGCTACAGATTTGTAGCCAGCTGTAGTACGGACTCCAAGGCAGTGTGTGTATGACAGGTGGGACCAGATATTAATAGCATAGTATGTAACTATTGTATGAATAAGCTATTAGATTGGCTATAGATGAATTGTAGCTAGTAGTTGGCTATACTATTAAACTTGCTCTTAGAGTACCTTGTTGTATGTAAGGTGGCGCGGCCTCCGATGCTGAATTATTGCAAACCAGAAGTTCACCAGCAAAGCGACATGGAGCGCTGACCCACCAAGCCCAGCAAACAGCAGCATGCAAATGGCTGATGCACAGGAATGCACGCTGATGGCAGAGAAGTTAGAAATCCGATGGAGCTCTGGTTCTTAATCTACTTCCTCTATCCCATATAAAGAAGCAACTCCTAACATTCTAATATAAAATTAAAGGAGAGAATAAAAGACCAAAATATCCCATCGTCCTATTCTAAGATGCTGAAGCCGATAGTGATTTTAAGCCGATGATGACTATAGGGCTTACCGAATTTTGATGTTAACAGGTGTGCAGATGGCTGATCCGCGCACCCACTTATAAATCAAGATAAACAAGTTTGCAGCTTTAGCTTATAAGTTAATTTTATGGATTAGCTCCTTACACCCTTAAATACAGTAGAGCCGATGTGAGTCTGGATCCTGCAAGTGGAAGGGAAGGCGGGGCGAGTCGCCGGGCGTTGTGTTTGGCTGGCCGTACGTCCCCTTCGACTGAGCTTGGCAGGCTGCCTGGCTGTCCTGCCCGGTTGGGGTGGTTGTCTTTGCATGACTGGCCGGCTGGGTCCCCGGCCTTCTTAGCTGGTTGAGCACTTGAGCTACGGCTAGGGTTGGGCCCACTAAAAACAATCACTAACTGCCTGCCAACTTGGAGCCATGCTGTGATCCAACTTGTTGTACAGAACCTCATGCATTATTGCAGGTGGTGGCCTCCTGCATTATTGCAGACGGAACACATCATCACGACATCTCACTCAATTTCTAGTGATATTTTTTCAGTCATTTATTTCCAGACCACCAAGAACAAACTAAAGCACACATCGATCAGTAGCCATGGATATCGTGGTGAGCGTCTCACATGGGGCACTGGGACCACTGCTGGGCAAGCTCAATACCTTGCTCGTAGACGAGTGCGCACGCCTGAAAGGTGTCCACCGTGAGATACGCTCTCTTAGATCGGAGTTGAGCAACATGCATGCGGCGCTCCACAAGTACACATCACTCGAGGATCCTGACATCCAGGTGAAGACCTGGACAAGCGAGTTGAGGGAGCTTGCCTATGACATCGAGGACTGCATAGACAAGTTCATGCACCAACTTGGTGCCAACGACGACCAGCACCACACTAGTAATGGCGTCAAGGACTTCTTCGGGAAGAGTGCAAAACGTCTCAAAACTCTTGGCTCAAGGCATAATATTGCTGCCGAGATTGAAGAACTGAAGATGCGAGTTATCTCGGTGAGAGATCAAAAGAACAACTACAAGCTTGATGATATTTTTTGTAGTAGCTCTAGCAACACTAATGCTTTTGTTGATCCACGGTTGGCTGCTCTCTTCGCGGAAGAGAACCATCTTGTCGGTATAGATAGTCCAAGGGATGAACTTGTCAATTGGTTGGATGCAGACAGCAGGTTGATAAAGCATCGCAAGGTTGATAAAGCAGGTCAATTGTGGGGTTTGGAGGTCTTGGAAAGACAACTCTAGCAAATGAGGTATATCGTAGGGTTAAAATCCATTTTGATTGCCCTGCTTTTACGTCGGTATCACAAAAGCCTGATATGAAGAAAATCTTCAAGGATATTATATACCATATGCCTACAAAAGATGCATTCCTCAAAGATATTGACACATGGAATGAAAAGAAATTTATTGAAAAGCTAAGAGAACTACTTGTGGATAAGAGGTAATTCTCTAGCTCCTTTTTCTTTTCCACTTCGAGAAATTCTTTATACCTACATTCGTGATATAATAGAGTGGTTTTTTCCTACACAAACTTATATTGTTTATAAACTTCAACTAGGTATCTTGTTATAATTGATGATGTCTGGTCTATTTCGGCATGGAAAGCTATCAGTGTTGTTTTCCCGGAGAATGGTTCTAGTATAATTATAGTTACTACACGCATTTCCGATGTTGGACGGTCATGCTGCTTAAATGGAATTGACCGCAATTTTGAGATGGAACCTCTAAGTGAAATTCACTCTAGAAGACTATTTTGCCAGAGAATTTTCAGCACAGATGAGGATGGCTGCCCAGATATTTTACAAGAAGTTTCAACAGATATCTTGAAGAAATGTGGGGGTATTCCATTAGCAATTATTAGTATATCTGGTTTGTTATCAAACAGACCAATTATCAAGGAAGAGTGGGAGAAAGTGAAAGAATCGATTGGTTTTGTATTGGACAAGAACCAAAATCTAGAAGGAATGAAAAGCATACTCTCCCTTAGCTACAATGACCTTCCAAACTATTTTAAGGCATGTTTGATATATTTGTGCATATTTCCAGAGGATTATATTATTGAAACAAACATGCTATTACGGCGATGGATAGCTGAAGGCTTTGTCTCTGAGGATTGTGGAATGAACTTGGAAGATGTTGCAGAGAGCTACTTTTGTGAGCTGGTCAACAGAAGCCTGGTCCAACCTGTGGACATTCGCTTTGACAGTAAGGCCCGTGCATGCCGCGTCCATGATATAATGCTTGAACTTATCACTTCAAAGGCGACAGAAGAAAACTTTATTACATTGTTACGTGGCCAAACAAGGAAAACAAATTTGCATGGCTACGTTCGTCGATTATCCATCCAGGACACTGATAATGATTTGTCAAGTCTGTTAGTAAACAAAGATTTAAGCCATGTTCGATCTCTAACCTGCTTTGGTGGGAACATGAATCTTTTGCCACAGCTTGCCCGATTTGAGGCTATACGAGTGTTGGAGTTTGAAGGCTCTATGAATTTGGAGCAGTATGATTTGGAAAATACAGACAAGCTATTCCAACTCAAGTACTTAAGCCTTCGTGGTTCAGACATATCACACATACCAAGACAAATTGCAAAGCTCCAAAATTTGCTGACATTGGACATAAGTGAAACATTCGTAGAAGAGCTGCCCACCGAATTATGCCTGTTGAAAAAGTTACTACATCTATTCGGAAATTCCTTGAAGCTACCAGATGGGATTGGGAATATGAGGAATCTACAGGTGCTGACAGGCATTAATATAAGTAATAGCTCAGCAAGTACAGTGCCCGAGCTTGGTGAACTAACCAGTTTGAGGGACCTCAAAATAAGTTTGTCTGATAAACTCAGCAAGTGCAAGACAAAAGAAGAGATGTTACTCGCCTCACTTTGTAAACTAAGCAGCTACAAACTCCAATCGTTGCATATTATATATAACAGTTCCGATGATCTCTTAGAACGTTGGTTCCCTATCCCTTGTTTCCTCCGATTGTTTCGCATGAGCACTAATCACTTTCTCCCACAACTTCCAAAGTGGATTAAACCGAGTCTCACCAAAATGGCATACCTGAACATCAATTTACGTGAGATAAAGGAGGAAGATATGGAAACACTTGGAGACCTGCCAGCCTTACTCTGTCTAGAAATATGGCTAGAACCTAACCCAAAAAAACAGCTTACAGTCCAAAGCACAGGATTCCCATGTCTCAAGGAGTTTCTCCTTGTTTGCGGCGATCACGATGGTGGAGCGTACCTAACATTTGGGAAAGGGGCTATGCCAAAGCTGGAGAAGCTTGAGATTCCATTTCACGTATTAATGGCAAAATCCCATGGTTTCTATTTTGGCATCAACAATCTCCTGCGTCTGAAAGAAGTTTTTTGAAAATTCACCGGGGGGGAGAGCTTCCCCACCTGAATATATTACTTCGAACCATCTTATATAGAAGAGATACATGAGAGTTTCCAAGCACAGGAGCCCTTGAGGATAACATGAGAGAAAGCACTGAGAGATATAGAGAAGAGAATACAAAAGATTAAGAGACAGAAGGAGAAGCTTTGACATTTTCCACCTACAAGATCACCAGGCCAAGATCAAAATCACTTACGCTAGGCCCTATCTCAACCACATCCGCTTCACACGCAAATTTTGAAACACCATAAGACAATAGAGCCAGGGGGCCATTTCTGCCACAAGCATGTCAACTCGAGTTCCGGCGATCAAAAGGCTGTGATTGTCCAGGACCACCCGCATTAGCCATAAAAAAACACGACTTCATCATGTTGCTGCTTGCATCAATGCCTGCCGGCGCCCTTTAGGGAAAGGAAGCCCCAAAGGAGGGAGGGCCACTGAAGATTACGGTCATGGGCCATCCGCATCAAGACGTCTTCAATATGGATTTAACAAAGTGCTAGCAAGTTCAACAGCCTCCAACGCCCTTCGGGGGAAAGAAGCCCCTAAGGGGGGAGGGCTGCTAAACAATGTGGCCAAGACAACCAGGTAAAAGGGTATAGCGGAGCAAGGAGGTAGACAGAAGAGATAATGAAGAGGTGGAGATCTCACAGGTAGGAGGAACATCAACAGCACTGGCAGAGAGATGCAAAGATCTGAGGCCATCACAGCCAATGGAGAAGCACAATCAAGAAGAGATAGACCCAAACTATCAAACAAGGAGCAGGTTAATATTGAGGGGATTCAGGTAAGGGAGTCGGCACCAACAAACTCCTAGATAACAGATCAGGCCAAATTGGTCGTGGCAGGCTTAACTCCAACCATGGGGCACGACAGAAAAGGCACAAAGCGGACAACAGAAGAAAAGGGGAGAAGGAGTGGATGGAATAGGGGAGAAGGATGGGAAAGCAGGGGGACTGGTTGCAGGGTTTCTCCAAAAATGATGCCTTCAAGAAGGTGACGACGTCGGAAAGGACGCCACCATCACATAAACAGGAGACTGGAAAGGGTTTTCACCCAGCAAGGAGGAACAAGGGTGTTACGACGACACCTCTAGGGAGGGGCATGATGTCCGAGGATGTTCATCGCCGTCAGTCCGGCGATGAGTCGGACAGAGCTTTTCACCCAACACCCTAAAACCATCCTCACTACCAGCTAGCACACACCGCGCAACCCAACAGCCATGCGCGGTGGAACTGGTCCCAGGTCGTCGGCCGCTAACTAGCCCGGCAGGTCCCACCGCCGCCAACCTGCACAACCGACAGCACCCCACAAACCGCAAGTCCCACTCCCGACAGATCTAGACGAAACCCTTGAACGGGAAAAATGGCCACAACAGCCTTCCCTAATTCCACCACCAGCACAATCAGGGAAGGGGGGCATCAGCGGCTTGAAAACCCAGATTCGGAATGAGAACATTGAAGAACAACAAATGAGGAGGGAGGCTAGGAGAAAGACGGGAGGGTGGGAAGGAGGTAGAGGAGGGTGGGGGCGCCGCCAGCGGCAAAGGGGGGCGGTGCCGCCGTCGGCGAGGTGGTCGGTGGTGGGGTCTCGGGGGTTTGGGGCTATCGCCTCCCGGGCCGCCCGAGCGAGCGACACGGGAGTCCTAGGTCCAGGTACCGCTTGCGTCTGAAAGAAGTGAACGTAATAATCTACCGTTAGGGGACTGTACGTTCTGATACCGAGTCTGCGGTGGCTGCAATCAAGAGAGAAGCAAGTGCAAATCCCAACCATCCTAGACTTGCCATCTTCGGAGCAGATGCAGAAGAGGTCCAAGAGGATAATAGCGAAGAGAGTGATTATAACTGGGGTTCAGAGGATGACGATGCTACTGACACCTGATATTGTTGCCAGCCATGATCTTTCTGGCAACCCATGAAAGAGGTAAATAGAATTCTCTCTAAGTAGCAAGCTAGTTGTGGTTGTTACTTTTACTATCTTATTTTGTTTCACTCGATCTGTAAGAAATTTGTGCACTCCATTTCTTTCAGGTTTGCTTCAATTGCATGTCGTCAAGTTTGAAACTGGAGTCCACGTTAAGTCCGTGCAAAGTGGGAAGCATAAATTATATGTGTGCTTCACATTATTGTTGTTGTCGACATTTTGTCTTATCAAAACATGATCCTGCATGTTGTACTTTCTAAATAATGTAGCAACTTCGGGCTGCTTGGATTGTTATAATTTTATTTGAATTTTTTATGGATTCTAGAGTATTAACATGGTCAGCTTTTTTTTTCATCCTTGAAAAGATATGACAATGTACGATTTTATACCGTGAAAATTGATCATCTGCCTGACAGTTCAGTAGCAGTTGATCGCGTTTCAAAGGCATATGTAAGGCAAATGAACATTTACCACTCAGCTAAGGGCCAAATGATCTTAAAGATTACCTATTATCGGTCAAATTTAGAAATTCTTTGATTGCTATTGTAAATCTTTAGAAGTCTAATGTGACAACGAGACTTAGGCCCTCTTCGATTAGGCTTAGATTTATTGGCTTAGACTTTTAAGTTAACTTATTGGCTTATATGATTTATAAGCCGGTGGATTTAATGTCCTAAGTTTAATAGTGGAGTCATACATCTACCTCACATAAGCCAAAATAGCTTCTCCAACTTAGCTTTTGGCTTAATAGTGTTAGAGTGGCTTATAGCTTTAGAAAAGCCAAACGAAAAGGCCGCTTATTTGTTTAGGCTTAGACTTTTTGACTTACAAGTTGGTTTATAAGCCGAAACAAAAGGGCCTTACCCACCACATTTGATTCAACGCGGAGCTGCAGGGGGAAGGGGACCAATTGCAAGGCCTCGTCTATAGTCTCTGTGGGGCTCACCAGCCAAGCGGTTGAACGCCCTCCTCCAGTGCAACTCATCTATTTGTACAATTGTGAATGTCACACAGAAAGATGATGACAGTCGAGAGTAAGACGGTATAGTTGTGTTAAATAGTCCTACATTGGTTGTGAAAGAGCAAATGACTTAATATATAAATGGAAGAGCCCATAACCTTATTGGCTAGTTTTTGGGGTGGGAAATGCCCTTTATGATTCTACACGTTGTCCTCGCAACCATTCGGTCGAACACCGAAAATGCAGTTTTTTTTTCCTTCTCATAATCTCTATACAACTTTTGCATCAAATGATTTCTCATACGATCACTCAAGCTAATTTACATAAATGAAAATGAGCCGAGTAATAGGAGACACGACCAATGCAACTCGCCCAGTATGCAGCCAATTAATGTGAATGTATTTGTGGAACATCATGTTAATTAGCTTTAGCTTCATGGCTGGCCACTGGTCAGCGGAGCAGAGGAAATCAGAGCATCGCAGGTGCAAGATGAATTACGCTGAGCAAAGCAGAGCACTTCAGGTGACTTTCTGGTGCTCCAAATATTTTTATTTTTTGGGATAGAGGATAAATGTGAGGACAATAGAGGTGTTATTGAAGATAAAATGGCAGCTGTCAGACGGATTCTGTACTAAATTGAAATATAAAACACATAAGTTCAATAATTGTACTCCCTCGGTCTAAATTGTAGCAACCCATGAAGCTCAATAATTTAAATCAAACCGAGACTTAACCAATTTAGGTAATGATCCAATGGAAATGCAATTACCCAAGGCTTCTTTTGACCAAACAATATTCAGAAACAATATTACAGCCTCACGTTCACCAATGTATCCAGTGATGTTGCGAGGGTAGGGAAGGTCATACTGCTGACGATGTGAAACTCATTCTGTTGGGACGGAATAAGCGTATCTTCCAAAAAAATCCCACAACGGTTGATAGGGTGGCCACCCTAATTCTTCAAGATATTGATCAAAGACTCTTGGCTTTCCAACCTCCTTGATGCTTTTTTTCGTTTTTGTGTTTTTGTTGTTTTCTTGTCTGTAAATAACTTTTATTTCGTCTAATATATTCCGGCAGTCCTTCTGCCGTCGTTCCCCTAAAAAAAAAAAAGAATCAGGGTCATACAAGACAGCCAGAAAAAAAGGGAAACAGAAAATTGTACCAGATAACTACATGAATACTAATACTACAGACTGCAGAGTGTAGACATGGTTTATTTCTTCAGAAGACACTTCATATGAGCAAGAAAAACCACAAGTAGAGCATCACCTACTGTGTACATTAAGGTCAGATTTTTGTAGAGCGTGAGATCTTCAAGCTGCTTGATCCAATTTACATTACCCAAGATAAGTGGAGATCATGTTTAGAAAGATAACTAATATATTATATTCTCAGTCACTTATGCACCAATCGTGTATCTGGAAGTCGTCCAGCCAGACGCACCAATCGTACTTCACCTGTAGAAAGCAGCAGCAACCAAATTTGACGTTTCAGCTACTAAAACCTATAAATTGAGAATGCACGAGTCAATCTCACAAACCTTCCAGGTAAATCTCCTATAATCAGGTCAGGACATCAATCATCCTGGTTGTACCAATATCCACCACATCCAGGAATAGCATATTTCCAAGACCATGGATCCCTCAATAATGGCCCTAAATGTATAACAGAGAGTCAGAATTCCTCGATGTTAATCTGTGATAAATAAGAGAGAGAGAATTCCTCTATATAAACAAACTTCAAACATGTAAATCAGGTGAGCACTTACTAAAAGAATTAATAGACTAGAGGGTAACCTGCAAATGGAAGTTTCAACTTTCAAGGTTATGAGAACAGGTGACTACAATCCGAAAGTGAAGATTATAATAAGTCGTGCATTTTCATATATATGGGCAAAAGGAAGAAACTAGTATCAAAACCACATGCATGCATGCCATATATGTAGAACTAAGACTGGAAAGCTTTAAAACAATAACAGAGTAGGTGTAGTAGTGATTAAAATTTGAGTTTCTCAACAGGCAAAAAGTACAGCAAGGTAGTACTACTATCAAGGGAAGGTTGATCGAAAGGGACCTTCTTCAGGATTTCTTGAATGAACATCTGATAACTCTCTGATCTCAAGACTATCAATCCGCTGCCCGAGGCGTTCATACAGAGGCTTCACATTTATAGCTGGGCAGTATTTAATCGTAATATCTTGAAGAAGTGGGTAACGACCATGGCACCCTGCTACTGATTGCAAGCGTCTGCATCCCTCAAGACGGAGGATTCGTAGTGACGGAAGATCTCCCAAACAATCCAATGACTCCAGTTTATTACAGTGATCAATAATTAAGCGCTTGAGTGCATCCAGCTGTCCTGAGACGGAACAAAGCTTCTCACAGCCAAATATTAGTAGCTTCTTGAGGGAATGATTCAGCGCGTCTAGTTGAACAGAATGAAGGTTGTCACACTGACCAATTCCCAGCGACTTGACTGTCGGTGGTAGATGGTTAAGTGTTACCAATCTATGACACCTACCTATGGTTAGACTCTCTAAACATGGCAGAGAATTATTTCTTAGTGATGGAGATTGCTGATCTGGAACAATTGTGGAAGCAAGGTCATTGCAGTGTTCCGACCTGCGTTCCACCTGTATTACACTCTCTGACTCTGTCTTATCCTCTCTCCACATTAGCTGAAGATTTCTGCAATCATGAATAGAAATAGATGTGAGAGATGGTGGAAGTCTAAAGATCTCTTCCAAGCTTTTACATTGCCTTATTGATAGTGACGTTAGATACGGTAACAACTGATCGCTTGGAACTCGAGTTGACTCCCCACTCACATGTCTGTGGCCTATTAGGTTATTACATTTTTCAATGGCCAAATTCTTCAAGGAAACCAAGCATATGAACTCTTCCTCTGGCCAGTACACAAGCACATCACAAGATTCAATTTTCAAATCCACAAGTTGTCCAAACCATTTCCATATCCCAACTGTTGGACGGGATGGGCCTAAGGGGAAGAAGAAGGCGCAGCCACATAACTCCATTTCCGAAAGAGGTGCTTCATAATTCTGATCAAGCTCCAGTCCTGCATTTCCGTCACTGACAGACAGTGTTAGCTTTGATAATGAAGAAAATCTAGACCTCAGAATTAATAAGGATAGCTCTGCCTTTTCTTCAACTAGCTTCAATATCCGAAGCTTTGGTGCTTTTGGAAGGGATTTCAACATTGGACAGTTCATTATACTAGCACTCTCAAGCAGGGGAAATGTCACTTCTTCTCCTTCCGTCGCCGACCATCTCTCCAACCTCTCCAAACGATGTAACTGAAGTTCTCTTAGTGCTGGAAAAAAATTGGATGTTGTGTAGCTGCATAGGCTTGCAAGGTTGTCTAAACTTGTGAGACAAAGAACTTTTAGGACATTCAAATGACAGAATTGAGGAAATTCCTCGCACATTGAACAACCAACTAGATAGAGCTCGGCCAAGTTCTGCAGCACACTGAGATCTGTCATCCAAGTTGGAAAACCATTGCCTTTGTAAAATGCTATTCTTAACATCAGGAGCCCATCATGAGGTTTTAGAGCATCTAGTACCTTCTTTTGGCGATCTGGTTCATCAACAAGGTGGTCATTACTCCATTCAAGAGACAAGTGTGTGAGTTTCACTTTATTTTCAATATTGACTGTGCTTGCTTGTGCCTCTGATACATTTTCTAGACCACACAACTCTAATTCACCACAAAGGTTTAAATTCTGCAATTCTCTGACAGTACTGCAACCAGAGATAGCACCAACCACAAAATATGTTAGTGTCTGTAAAGAAGTTAGATGTCCAAGGTCTGGAGGCATGTACTCCAGGTTTTTGCATCCATTAGTATAGAGGTGCCGTAGGCTTGTCATGTACTTCATATCCTTTGGGAGCCGGCGAAGTCTAATGCAATGAGAAACATTCAATGTCTGTAGATGGTACAGTATGGATATGTCCTCTGGAAGTTCTTTGATGTCGCAGTTTTCTGAGAGATTAAGATACCTTAGGTGCTTTAACTTTATCGGTCTAATTGGAAGTTCTTTGATTTCATATAGCTGCAGTCCACGTAGAGAAATGCACTTCGATAAATGATGTATCGATCCATAAGTATTCCATGTTGGATACAATAATGTCCGGAGAGTTGTAGATTGTTTCCTCAGAAAATCATCGAAATGATCTCCAGTTCTATGCCTTGACACGAGCAAGTGGTAAGTCGAACGATTTGACAACAACTCTTTGCGATAGGACCTATCCGTAATAGTTACGCATTCTTTCCCCATAACATATAGAGCAATGTCATGCATAAGATCATGTATCTTGCATGTGGTGGTGTATCGGAGTTGCACCCTGTCTCCATTATTACTGCACACAAGAGGAGTTTGTTTGACATCTTGAAAGAATGACCTCCAAGCTAGTTCCTTGAAAATTTCTTCCCCTGATGTCGTTTCAAAATGATATTTCTCCTCTAGTGGAATGAAGTCATGTGCCATCCATAGTTGAATCAAATTCTCCACATTAATCTCATAATTTTTGGGGAATATGGCACAGAAAGCAAAACATTGCTTCATGTGCGATGGTAGGTCGGCATAGCTAAGCTTTAGTATAGGTAAAATTCCAGTCTTCTCGTTGCAAATGTCACTTTTGGCTATTATATTCTTCCATTCTAGGATGCTGGTCTTGGTACTCAACATAGAACCAAAGGCTTTTGCAGCTAAAGGAGAACCTTGACATCTGTCCACAAACTTCTGAACAATTTCAGATAGCTCATCACTGCCAGCCAAACTGAATGCTCTAGTCTGTATTATTTCCTTCGTATATTCTTCGCCAAGTTTCTCAAGATTATAGGCTTCAACTACACCAGTGATCATAATTCTAGCTACTTGTGAATCACGAGTAGTTGTTAGTATTGCACTACCCTTGCCACCCAGCTTAAGGCAGGTCTTCAATTTTTCCCACTTATCAGCTTCCCGGTTCCATACATCATCCAAGACAATTAGGTACCTCTTCCCACTTATTGCCTCCTGCAGATCCTGCAATGCCTTTTCATGATCCTTCTCTGTGCTATTGCAGATGCTATTTGCAATATTTCCAACATCAAAATCATCTGACACACAACACCACCTCCAGAGTTCGAAATGGTTCTTGATCTCAGGCTCATTGTAAATGAGCTGAACAAAGGTGGTTTTTCCCAGCCCAGCCATTCCAACAATTGGAAGGACCAACAGATCCCTATTGCTGCTAGCATGATTATGCAATATCTTCACAATCTTCTTTTTCTCCTCATCTCTGGATCTTCTTATAATATCCTTCTCAGAGTCAGCCATTATAGAATCTGTTTGACGCCATTGATTGGATGGTGGAGCTTGCTGCCGGTGTATGAACCCAAAGGAGTTCATCTCTGAGACAAGGACCTCAATGCTCCCCACAATCTTTTGTAGCTTCTTACCCATCTTATTACGAAACATGATAGGGTTATAAGAAGGAAAGAGGCTTACAACGTCCATGCCGAGCATGTTGAACTGCCCCTTCTTCCTTGCGTCGCGCCGGAGGGCTTCGTACTTGAATTCATCAAAGACATCATTTGCCTCATAGGCCACCTTCTTGAGTGCTCTGAGCCAAGCGCTTACTCCAGGTCGAAAAGCTCCCTTCTCCTCCGCATCTTCAATGACATCCAGGATGGCAGGCAGCTTGCGCTCCAGGATCTCGCGCTGCTGCTCCATGCCTTCCATAACCTTGTACTGGTCTAGAAGGTAGCTGGAAACCTTCTCCTTCACCATGGAAACTAGTGGTCCGATAACAACCTCAGCCATTGTTGCGCTCACAACTGACAAGAACACAAGGAAACACTGCAGCAGTGAAGACTTTGGGGTGCACTAGAAAAATATGGACGAGCGCTTCAGAGGAAATAGATGGGAGTGTGCTTGTTGTGATGTGTCCCCAATGATCAGCCACTTAAAATATGGTTCACAGGTAACTATAACACTACAGTACTCTAGATACCTTATTAGCATCTAAATAACCATGTGAGAGCACCTGCTGTCATCCATTTGAACTTAAGAAACATCCAGTAGAACTAAAGTCATTAGTTACTACTTACACCTGAAAAAAAAGGAAATTTTGAAGACATATCTTTTATATTATAAAGATAGCTCTAAAAGAAAACACCATGTTCGATGTGAAGGCCTAGAAATTACAACATTACTTGGAGAAAAAAATAAAATATAAAACATTACATCATGATATAACCAAATTATAACGGTGTAGAATGATAGGAACAGTTGTATAAATTTACAATTATATCTATGGAAACACAATATAAGAGTTATATATTAAGCCCAATTCTACTTTTAGTATTTATATTGTATATAGAATATAATTGCATATATATAGAAACAGGAGGTAAGAGTTGTATACTTGTATATCAAGTCATATTCAACAATTAGCTTGATATGATGCATAGTAAATATATGTTAGAGGTGGTGTCTTGTAAAACATGAATTATTGGTCAATTGAAAACAAGAGGGAATAAAATTCCACCTACTAATCATGTGAGAGCATCTATGCTCATCCATTTGCTCTTAAGAAACTACCTAGTTGTCAAATTGACCTGTCGAGATGCATGTCAAGGCCCATAGAACAAAGGTATTTGAAGACTTTGCTAGTTTTGCAGAAAAAAAAAGCGAGCGATTATTTTTGAAGAGAGCGATTATTGCTCTCTTCGAAACAAATTTTTGTTTATAGGTAAATGAAGGCCCCGGGCATTTGTATTTGTATGCAGATTTGTTATTTCAGCCAAGAGGGGGAACCCACCCAATTTTATTTTAGGCCAATTTTATTTTAGGACAAGAAATAAAAAAGAATGCAGCCAATGTATGAAAAATAGGACTAACGAATGTCAGTACAGACACACAGCATCTGACCTCAGTGAGAAGCTAGCACGGCGATGCAGTCGGCTGGCACCGTGGAACACTCTGGCGACACATCTTGTCGGCGTCAATAACCCTCCGGCGATGCCTTCCCGTCACGTTGTTTCTGTTATTCCTGATCGGATCCAATGTGTCGTCCTTGTACCCATTTCGTCGAGCACCATGTGGGCACCGGCGTGTAAGCCGCCTCGTCTCCCGCCTCTTGCTTGAATTCTTGGCAGCGACAGAGGGAGGAGAGAGGCGAGGGTGCCGACGGCGCAAAGCATGGGAGGTTGACGGACGGCGAGGCTGGCGAGTGGGTAGGCGGCTGCTGATGCAGCGATCCGGCGCCCGCTGGATTGGTGGGGCGAGACGAAAAATGCAGCGGTGGCGCCATTAGTTTGCAGGTTTCAGCGAGCAATTGCCGATGCGATGCTTAATTTGATTTTTTTTTTTTTGGAAAAAGTACACCGAAGGTCCCTCAACTTGTCGTCGGATAAAAAATATCACTGAACCGCAAAACCAGATATACGAGGTCCCTTAATTATACAAAACCGGCCAAGAGTTCCTTCAGTGGTTTTGACAACCGTTTTAGTCTACGTGGCGGCTGAGTAAGCGTGGGACCCACGCGGGCCCCACATGTCAGCGTAATCCACGTCATCCCCTCCCTCTTTCTCCTCTTCTATCTCTCACACACACTTTCTCCTCTCTAGGCAGCCGGCCGGCGAGTGGGGAAGGAGGTTGCCGGGGCGAGGCGGGAGAAGAAGTCCGGCGATGCGGCAACGACGACGGAGGTGGGGCCAGGAGCGAAGGCGGCGAGGGGGTCACCACCGCCGCCACCCCTGGGGCGCGCGCGAAGCCAGCGGCGAGCACCGACTCCTCGTCAATGGGCCAGAACACATCGAGCGACTCGCGCGGCAGTTCGTCGCCAGTGGTGCTCACTACCTTAGCCGCGCCGGGAACGTGAAGCCGCCGGAGCTCACGACGCGGCGGCCAACAATGTCCAGCGTCGGGAAAGCGGCGAACAGCGTCGCGCCACTGCCGCCGCCGCTGTTCGGCGCCGCCGCGAAGGTACTGTTCGCGAGAGGAGGAGGACGAAACATGCTGCTCCCTGGAGATATCTTCATCTTGATGGGCTGTGTGTCATTGACGGCGCCGCCTCCTCCCTCTCCCCGGCGTCGGCGTCGGCTTGGCGGTGGCGGCGAGGCGGGAGGACCGTGTCGGCGTCAGCGCTGGGAGCCGGAGCGGCAGGAGGCAGGGACAGGCGCGACGGCGGCGGTGCGCCAGGACCAAGCGCCGCTGCTACTGCCGTGCTCCCCCCGTCCTCCTCGCGCTCCCCCCTGGCTACCGCCGCAGCCGCCCTCCCCTTCTTCCCCCGGGCGCCGGCCGCCGTCGCGCCGCAGCCGCCCTCCCCTTCTCCCCCCGGGCGCCGGCCGCCGTCGCGCCGCTGCCGCCCTCCCCTTCTCACTGTGGAGGACGTGGATTACGCCCGTGGAGGAGAAAGTGTGTGTGAGAGAGAGAAGAGGAGAAAGAGGGAGGGGATGGCGTGGATTACGCTGATATGTGGGGCCCACGTGGGTCCCACGCTTACTTAGCCACCACGTAGTTCAAAACCGGGTTCAAAAACTACTGAAGGACCTTGGGTGACCGGGTTTGTATAGTTAAGGGACCTCACATATCTGGTTTTGCGGTTCGAGAACATTTTTTATCCCCATGACAAGTTGAGGGACCTTCCGTGTACTTTTTCCTTTTTTTTATTTGTTTCCGATTGGATTCGGAGGCCCAATTGGATTCTGTACTGTACAGTACATGGCCCATTGCCAAACATGTAATGCTGGCCCAATTATTCCTGCACTTGCTGTTCCCTCCTTTGGCGCAGTAAAAGTTAGCCAAAGAAAAGAAGTGAGTGTAGCTCAACTGGTTAGATTGCTTGTAATAGCAGTTCACACAGGTTTAAATTTTATATTTGATATGTGTGCTCGTATTTACAGCTAATTATTTTTTAAGTGGCAGGTGACGTTTCCGTTGATAGCGAGGCGTCCGTGACAACTCTGTAAATCTCAAGATATATTGGTACAGTCTTTCAAAAATGCTCATAAGGATAAGGGGTGTGCGATGCATGTGTGCATGTGTTGTGGGCACTGTGTTTGTAATGTGTTTCTATAAAAAAAAGTTAGCGAAAGATTTATTTGCACCTGTCTGCTTTTGCCTAATTATGTCCTAAGAACTTTATTGAATAAATAGTTCAACGAGATGAATATGGAAAACTTGCCTATCTTGAACAAGACAACTTAATCAAACTGAGCCCACTAACAGAATCGATTATCCCTAAAAAAAAAGAAGTAAAGAAGAATCGATTAGATACATCAACTTGCAGTTTAAATAACAAAATGAGTAAATTGCACCTACGATAAAAAAAATCCCTGAACTGTATTGTATCAATTCATCCAGCAATCATTTTTTTCTTCTTTTCTTTTTTCTAGATTTGAGGTATCAAGCAAGCAGGGGATCTGCTGTTCTGTTAGAGATTAACACAACGGATCGAAGCGTCGTAAAGGTTGAACAACGTTGGGGAGAGAGAAAATGAATGTTTGGAAGAGGCAAATATATACGAACCGATCAATGTGCACACAGAAACACTCACAAAAAGCGAATAGTGCATGTTTTGTATGAGATGCGCAAACATGTTGGTAATCGAGAGGAATTTGACATAAAGGCAAATATAAATCTTGCTCATCTTGATATGTTGGACAAAAGCTCCCTATGCTTATTTCTGCACATAACAGTTTTTCAAGTAAACTTACTGCGGAAAAAATGCCTCCGTCCCTCTCCCCTAGCCCCGACACTCACCCGCGGCGGCGACGCCCGGCGCCACGAAGCTTCCACCCAGTTGATCCCTCGCTCCACATTTCTTCCCCAGTCCTTGAATGTTTCCCCACCAACCAATCTTCTCCAGTCTTCCTCCCTTCCATTCAAAGCTCCCTCTGTCCACCTGAGGAGGGAGAAATCTTCGTAGACTCCCCCCTAGATCCAGGCTGTTCTGAAGCTGGAGAAGAGATCCCCCATGGATCTAACCTCCATCTGCCCGTTTCTGCAACGGATGGGGATCGAGGTAAGGAGACCGGATCTATCTCAAAATCAATTTCAAATCTGCATTCATCCCAGCATATCCCCAAGCAGATCTCCAAGCAGATTTCAAATCCCCCCGCCGGCCCAATGTCTTCTCGGCCTCTTTACTCCGCCGTACTTCGACAAGATGGACATCCACCAGTAGCTCGGCGCCTACCGATTGCAAATCACCTCAATCCCTCAATTCTTGGCCGCCCACCGCCTCCTCCGTCTTCAAGAGTGTTGAGCAGTGGGAAAGTTGTTGATTTGACGAGACGCCATTACCACCCCCCCTCTTTCCCGAAGCTGTGCTACTTCCAAGACTGAGAAAGAGCAGCCATGGCAAGAAGTTAAGCAAAGGTTCTAGTGGAGGAAAGGATCCTCATTCAATTCTCCTAACAACCAAGAGATCATGGCTGCAAGAAAGATCCGATTCCTCAAGCACACAGAAGGTAAATGCTTCCGCTGCCTCCAACCCGGTCATAAAGTTGCAGACTGCAGGGATCCTCTTCGTTGTTGGTTTTGCAGAAGATTTGGTCACCTCTCCTCAGCCTGCAGAGAACGCCGCTATAAATTGCAACAACAAGTGCAGTTTCATCCGCCATCCTAGCAACCATCTCCACCACCAGCGCCACCACTGCTTTCCTCCACAGTGTTCCCTCCTCTCAACAACCATCTGAACACTTCCTCTGCTCCTCCCACCATGGCCTCGGTCCCAAGTGACTTGGCCTCTCGCCCTGACCTGGGTAGCTGCATGGTGGCGGCGACAAGTGAAATGGAACGTCTGAAGCAGCTCTTCACGGCAAGATCGGTGGTGGCCTGGTCTGATGAAGGCCAGAAGGTGGAGATCGGCACATTTGCTGATGACATCCGTTCGGCCTTCCGTATCCATCGCTCCGACATTCAGATCACGAAGTTCTATCCAGAAGACTTCTTCCTCACTTTTGTTAACCATAGCGATCGTGAGGAAGTGCTGCAAGAGCCAAGGCTGGTAACTCGAAGTGGGAGAGTGTATCACTTCAAGCCATGGAATGAAAGGCGCAATGCTGAAGTAATTGATGTTCGCTTCCATGCCCGAGTCTGCATTGAAGGTATCCCAATGCATGCAAGATCAGAAGAAGTGGCGACAAAGATCATTGGCTGCAAGAGTTCAGTCCACTACATAGAAGAGTACTCCCGTCGCCGGAACTACAACCGTACCTTTGATCTTTGGATTTGGAGCTCAGACTTGAGCAGCTCCATCCTGAAGGCTTCAAGTTTCTCTATCACAAGGCCAGACAGTGAAGCAAGAGCCACTGATGTTCCTTTTCCTGAGTTGGAGCCGCCCCGGATGCCGGGCATTCTTCCGCAGTTGTTTCTCCTCTTCCCCAACCTCTCTCACCTGATCTGTTGCCCGTGTCACAGGATCAGAGGGCTTTGCTCTTGCTTGAAAGACACCTGGATCCTATGTTCTATGAGGCCACGATGGGAGGTTCCATCTACTCCCCTGATACTTCCCTGCCTCGTACTGCCTCTCCTGTGTTTGTTCTTTCAGCTGCTGCAGACTCACAGGCGACACCAGTTGAGGTGACCCGGCATGATGTGGAGGAGTTCCTGGCGGAGGTGACCACACCCATCCAGCAGCCACTCCTTCCTGCGCCAGGAACCAAGCCACGCCGCCCATGCTGCAACAAGGTGATTACTCCAATACAAAGGCAACGTGAAAGACTGGCCGTGAAAGCCAGACGCAATACAAAGCTTGATTTAATTGCGCAAGAAATACTTGCAAAGAAATTTGGCGTTCTTGATGATAATAAGCGTCTAGATGACCAAATTAAGAAACTTTACTTGCAGCACTACAAGAAACTGCTCTCCCCAGCAGACATGAAGACAATCACGACACTGGTGGAGAATGGAGGCTGCAAAGGCATTCGGCTGCGTGCCAAGAAGGCGGCATCGGTGGTGCCGATATGAAGCCCCAACCGTGACAGAAGACTGCCGGCCAACTGTTGATGATGTTAAGTAGATGGCTTTTGATGTTTGTAATGCAAATGTGCACCTCTTTGTGTTTCTGCCAAGTTTCTTGGCTGTGTTTCAGAGATGGCCATTTGCATCACAAGTCCTCCCCTGCAGATGGAGTCTCCCCCAGTAGTAATGACTTTTATTCATGTCGCAGTTGAACTGTTTCATCCTCAATTGGAATGTCAGAGGCTTGAACAGCCAAGTTAGAAAAAAAAGTGTTAAGCTGTTGGTAGAGCAGATGAATGCTACAATAGTTTGTCTCCAAGAAACAAAGATGAATCAAATCTCTGATGTGGATGTTTTGCATACTCTGGGTTCTCGTTTCAAAAACGAATTTGCTTTTCTCCCTGCTGATGGAACCAGAGGAGGAATCCTCCTAGCCTGCAACGATAACTATTTCAGCCTCTCTAATGTTCTCCGGAAGCAGTACAGTCTCACAGCCACAGTGACTATGAAAAATGATGGCATCGCATGGACGATAACTGTGGTCTATGGACCTCAGCAAGATGCCCAGAAAATTGAGTTCATCACTGAGCTACAGGAAATAAAGCAACTGGTTATGTCACCTTGGCTGCTAATAGGAGATTTCAATCTAATCTATAAAACCTCAGACAAGAACAACAGCAGGCTAAATAGAAGTATGATGCAGAGGTTCAAAGGAACTTTAGACAGATTGGAGGTAAAGGAACTGCCTCTTTCAGGAAGGAAATTCACTTGGACACAAGAGTGTGATAACCCAACCCAATCAAAAATTGACCGTGCTTTTTGCTGTCCTGATTGGGATGTTCTTTTCGACTCAGCACAAATGTATGCCCTCTCTTCTTCCTGTTCAGACCACGCCCCCTTATTCATAACAGGCTGTGTGGAAAGAGAGCAAAATAACTCCTTCCGTTTCGAGTCCTTTTGGCTAAAGTTCCCAAACTTTCTTCAGATAACAGAGGAGTCCTGGAACAGACCTTTACAGACCACCAATCCTTTTGCACGAATTAATTTAAAGCTAAGAAGGCTTGCAAGAGATCTCAGAAGATGGAAATCAACCAAAATAGGAGACACGAGATTGCAGCTGGCAATTGCGAATGAAGTAATCTTTCAATTAGATGTTGCTCAAGAGGATAGAGTTTTGTCGGATGAAGAACAGTGTTTTCGAAAATTTTTGAAAGTAAGAGTGCTTGGCCTGGCAGCTATGGAGAAAATTCGCTTAAGACAAAGAGCCAGGATCACATGGCTAAAACATGGGGATGTCAATTCAAAGTTCTTCCAAATCAAGGCGAACGGTAGAAAGAGAAAAAACCACATCCTGCTCCTCCAAACACCGATTGGTATTGCTTTCACAAAAAACCAGAAAGAAGAAGTGAAGCGATACTTCACTCAAAACCTAGGTTCTTTTGGCCCTAGAAATCAACGACTAAACTGGGCTGCCCTCAACATACCTTCTTTAGATCTCTCAGATCTTGATGAGCCTTTCACTGAAGAAGAACTTAAATATGTCATTTCTGATCTACCCTCGGAAAAAGCCCCTGGCCCGGATGGTTTCATTGGGGCTTTTTTCAAGCTGGGATATAATTAAAATAGATATGCTGCAGGCAGTAACTTTCTTTGGAGATTTGGGATACTCAAGGCTACAGGACCTAAACTCAGCACATATTTGTCTCATTCCCAAAAAGACTGATGCTTCGAAAGTGGAAGATTTTCGACCGATAAGCCTAATTCATAGCTTTGCAAAGATAATTGCCAAACTGCTAGCCAACAGGCTTGCACCTAAGCTAGGAGATTTGGTCTCCCAAAGTCAAAGTGCGTTTATTAGGAAAAGAGCAATTCACGACAATGTCCTGTTCGTCCAAAACATGATCAAAGCATGCCATAGAGCAAAAAAGCCAACTCTTTTCCTTAAAGTTGACATTTCGAAAGCCTTTGACACAGTTAATTGGCCATATCTGCTAGAGGTCCTACAAAACTTCGGTTTTGGTCAGAAATGGTGTAATTGGATTTCTAACTTGTTGGGTACCTCCTCCTCGGCAATTCTCCTGAATGGCACCCCAGGGCAGGTAATAGAACATGCAAGAGGGCTCCGTCAGGGAGACCCCCTCTCCCCCATGCTTTTTATTCTTGCAATGGAACCTCTACATAAATTGTTTCTAAAGGCAGAAGAGTCTGGACTTCTGTCAAGTCTCCAAAGACAAAGACGTTTCAGATGTTCTCTTTACGCGGATGATGTTGCCCTTTTCATAAAGCCAAATCGAGACGAGATGCTAGTTCTTCGTGGTATTCTCTCTGTTTTTGCAGAAGCCAGTGGTCTTTACACAAACATGGAAAAAACAGAGATATACCCGATTAGCTGCAATGAGATCAATCTTGATGACTGTCTATCCATCTTCCCAGGCAGAGTTTCAAACTTCCCATGTAAATACCTTGGTCTCCCTTTGCACACAAGAAAATTAAGAAAAGTAGAACTTCAGCCTTTGGTGGATAAAGTGGGATCAAGGATACCTGGTTGGCAAGGTCGATTCTTCACTTCGGCTGGCAGAGAAGTGTTGGTCAAAAATACTTTGTCCTCAACCCCAATTTACCACTTAACGATTCTACAACAAAATAAATGGCCATACAAGCGAATTGACAGATTTAGACGAGCTTTTCTTTGGAAAGGAAAAGACCCTGAAAATGTTAGTGGGGGCAGCTGCCTTCTCAACTGGTCCTCTGTTTGCAAACCCAAATCTCTTGGAGGACTTGGAACCCTCAATTTGGAGAAATTCGCGCGGGCTCTACGACTCCATTGGCTTTGGTATGAATGGAAAGATGAACATAAGCCATGGATTAACATGGAAATTCCATGTGACGAGATGGATAGAATTCTGTTCAGGGCAAGCACGCAGATCTCTCTTGGAAATGGAATGAAATGTAAGTTTTGGTCAGACAACTGGCTACAGGGAAGGGCTCCTAAAGACTTGGCACCAAATATTTTCAGATTAGCAAAAAGAAAAGCAAATTGTGTAGCTCTAGAGATGCAAAACAACCACTGGATCACTTCTTTAAGGATGATCACCTCGATTGAAGAGATCAATGAATTAGTCTTCTTGGGAACCCAGCTGCAAGAGATCAACCTACACTGTAACTCTCTAGATAACATAACCTGGAAATGGACTCAACATGGAGAGTACACAGCAAAAAGCGCTTATGAAATTCAGTTCCAAGGCTCTGTTGTAAACAAAAACTTTATGCCACTTTGGAAAGCTGAAGCTGAACCAAAACACTGTTTCTTCGGTTGGCTGATCCTACATCAAAGAACCCTCACAGCGGAAAACCTTTTATTAAGGCATTGGCCATGTGATTGGATATGCAGTCTCTGCACAGAAGCTTTTGAAGATGCAAATCATTTAGCAAAGGAATGCAGTTTCACTATCTTGGTCTGGAACCAGGTTTGCTTGTGGCTAAATTTCTCACAAGTTCCAAATCACCTTGTGCATTAGAACATCTCAGATTGGTGGGAATCTTTAGTAGTTTCATTTCAAGGAAACAGAAGAAAGAAGCTAATAGGAGCCCTTCTAACAACCTGGTGGCATGTGTGGCTTGAACGTAACAGAAGAATTTTTCAGCAAAAACATCTTAGTGCCACACAAGTAGCTTTTATGGTTAAAGAAAATATAGATCTTATGCAGATCTTGCGCCAAACCTAAAGGTTTGTGCCTTGCGAAAGTTGTTTCTTCTTTGCCTGTAATTTTTTTTTAAAAAAAAAGTACCACTGCTTGTAGTGGTCACCTTTAAGACTTTGTGTCTGCTCATTCTTCTAATATATCCGGCAGATCTCATGCCGTCATTTGCTTAAAAAAAAAAGTAAACTTACTGCTGTGGTGGCTTCTACAGTGAACTGCAGATAACAATTTTTGAAAATATATGCAACGTATAGCAGATTACTACAAACTGTCAACCGCATGCTTTTTCAGAGAAGCATAGAAAGCAATACATCGTGGCAGAGCTTATTCTCTACAATAAATACAGGGGTGTATATATTCAGAGTTTCAGACAATAAAAACAGACAACACTTCCGCTAGCCACATGTATACGTACGGGAGTAATAATTCAAAGAAGATCCCGAGTTTGAATTTATTCTGCCGAAATTCGAGCTCCTCAAGCTGTATCACTTAAGCAAAACTTGCAAATCCAAAAAAAAACTATTTTTTTTAAAAAAACCCTCTGTAGTGGAGATTCACCATCAAAAAGGCAGACAATTGATATAGTCTTCTATGAATGGTAAAAATCTTGGAGGGAAGCCAAGTAAAATTATCAGAAGAAAGAAGTTTCAACCAAAAACAACCTCTCATCTTACACTACTTGTTGGATTAGAGTCGAGATGATGGCAATCAGTTCCACAAACCTCTATGATCTGGCTATTAGGTCACCAGTGACGGGCTGTCACTCACATTTGACGAAAGTAACCCTCTGCCGGGTTCTAATTCCGACCCGTCACAGGTGACGGAATACTTGTGACAGACTGCGACCAGTGACCTCATCTGTTACGGCCTCCCGATGGACCCGTCAAAGGTGAGGCCATCCGTGACAAGCACTTCGGCCTGTCACTGGTGGGTTCTTAGAAGTGAGCCGTTTTGGCGTGGTGTAGGTTTTCACTTGAAGAAGAGAGGGCCGCATTAACGATGCCCTAAGAGGGAAGACGACACTCACTAGTGTCGATGTCGCCACCGCCAGAAGACTGGGGGTAAGGCTTTCGCCTCGGTCTCTCTCGACGGTTGATTGCCTCCAAAAAACATGATGAGGGTGTTGTGGGTTATCGCTGCCTAGCTCGCCACCCGGCACAACAGCTCTGACTCTGTCACAAAACAAGACGACCCCATACTATAGGAGCAAACAACACTACTACTCCACCCACGGCGAACCACACTACTTGAGGGGTTATTGTTCCCAAGATTGTCACCCAGTCAAGCAGTTCTAACTCCTCAGCTCACGAAAGCTCAGTCATGAGGTGGAACCAACAAAAACCACCACCACCGTGAACACAGGGCACCTGATTGTGGTCGGCCTTGAGAAAGCACCAACGACGCTGAAGGCTGCTCAACCTTCACTGAGTAAACACCCAGCTTGGCCAAAAGCGACACCTCCTTACCATTGGGCTTCCCGCGATCGGGATCTGAGAGCAGACCAGTACAAAGAAGGGGGGATTCAGCTCATCTGACTTCACCCCTCACGATGGCAGAGATCAGTCGAGGTCATCCAGCCGTCCACATTCGATCGAACCGTCCGCCCAGGGAACTGCATGATATACACGAGCAGACGCGTCGTGAATCTGGCCAAGGCTGGCCCAACAAGTTGTTTCCCAGCGCCGTCCGTCACTCCTACCCTTTTTACAGTGAACAGATGCGTTTTGGTGGCCGCGCTCTCCTTTTTGGCGCCAAACGAGGCCACGGCGCCGGACGATCGTCTGACAACGCACTGCGATGGCAAACCACGGATTCCACCGTTGATCAAGCATAGGTGAAGTAAGGACCTAATCTGAGTTTTTACACGCTTGATGAACTGCTTGATCTTTTAGGCAAGGTGAGCATTTATGCATCCATTGGTTGTACCTCCCTTGTTTGTTACTGCACATGTGCAGATGCTCCCATTCACCACTGCCAACAGGTGCTGAACGCAGGGGATGACATGATTGGTGTTGAGCACTTGGAAGAGGATTCTGATGGCATGGCTCTTCTTAAAGCACGGAGCTCTGCCGGATCAATGATCGTCTTCAGCCTTTTTTTTTAACTTAATGCACACGCATGTGGTTAGTGTGTACAGTTTAATATGTCATATACACTTGGTAGTGGATAGCAGAGAGCAAGCATGTTGGGTGGAGATTGATGTAGAGGAGAAGGGCCGCTGTCGCCACCGCTACCTCTTCCTTCACGCCGGTCTTCTCTGCCGTCGCCACTGGATTTGGGCTATTGTGTGTGGCTGCCGCGGTCCTCCTCCACCTCCGCCTCCGCTGGGAGAGAGGGGGGTCGGAGGAGGAGGGAAGCGGCCGGAGGGGAGGGCAACGGTGGAGGAGGCGATGCCGCAACCGCTCCATCGATGCCGGTAACCACCTCACAGCAGACTAACAGAGATGAGGAGGAGGGGGAGAAGAATGGGGGGAGGCGGATCTAGAGGAGGAGGGGGAGAATAATGGAGGAGGAGGACAAGGAGTGTAGTACCGAGAGAGAGGATGTCGGATGGATAAGGAGTGGAGTATGGGCGCTGGTTTGATCGGTTTGCCTCAGCTCGAGTGCTGGTTTTCCTACAATAAACTATAGTGCCGATTTATATGCAGATCCGGCACCTATAATATAAGTATAGGTCCCTTTTTTTAAAAAAAACTAGCACCTATACTATAGGTGCCGGTTTTTATGGTAATAGGTATCCATTTTAAATAAACCGACACCTATGAGCCAATACCTATTAGGTGTTTTGTAGTAATGGTCACACTCACATATGTCCAGGATACCTGATGGTAGTCCGAGGAATTAGGTGCCCACACTACTACAAAATACCAGGGAGGCGGCACTATTGACTCCAAGTGATTGGTGCTGGTTTCAAAATCAGCACCTTTGAGGTGTTCGCGAGCCAAAAAAAAAAGGCTCGATACATCGGCTCGAATCGAGCTGGTGCATCGAGCGCATCCACCCCCTGCGTTGCCCCCAAAATCTCAAATCCACAGCATCAACGAATCAACCAATATCATCACAATGAACCAACCAACATCATCACAGAAATTATAGACTATAAACTCCCGAATCAACCAACATCAATAACAGACATCACACGACAAACATTGAAAGAACAATGAACTCCACCGCTGCTCACCATCGCCATCTACCAGACCCGCCACCGCTGCCACCATTGCCCCGAGGATACTCCGCCGCCGGGCTACCACCGCCTCCCCTCCCACAGTCGGACCACCGGGAAGTAGGGGCTGTCGCATCCGGGAAGTAGGGGTCTCTGCCTCCATGCCGTCCACGGCCACCGCGCCTCCCCTCCCGCCAGATCTGGCGGAGGGGAGGGCGTCGCTGCCCCTCCCACCCCTGCCGAGCCGGTGCCGCCGCCGTCGCTGCCCTTTCTCCCGCCGTACGCCACTATTCCAGCCGCTGCGAGCGAGATAGAGAGGGGAGAGAGAGCGAATAAAATGAGAGGGGAGAGAGAGCGGAGAGAACGAGAGAGATCGAGAGGATACGAGAGAGTTCGAATGACCTTATCTCCTCGATGCTAGTGGTGGGGCCTGTTGGCTCGGCTCAATTCGTAGGTGCCGTACCTATCTATCTATCTATCTATCTATCTATCCCTCTATACCTCTATACCTATACTAATTGGGCACTTTCTACGAGCTTCCACGTTAACCGGAGAAATCTAACCGTTGATTTAATCAGTTTTATTATCATGGCCGTACATACAAAATCTAACGTGGCGGGCTAATTTGCCTTCTAATTTCATGGGCTCTTTCAGCCCATCTATTTTTTCTCTACAACAGATCAGCAGTAATCGAGAGAGATACAGATCGACCTCATCTCTCTGATAGAAATTAACGATAGAGAGGTGGGAGAGAGGACTAGCAACCACGGGATGATACCCAATGTGATTGGTGATGATTTGCAATCTCAAATCCTCTCTAACTCGGGTACTATTTTACCTCAACCTTGAACAGATTGATTTTTCATTGATTTGGATTGACACTCATCTGAAACGTCATCATCCAACCCAATAAATTTCAGGAGTCCAGATGCCGATCCAAAAAATCGAGTACATATGCCACCGTTCCCCAATTCACACAGGTAATGTCGAACTTGCATCTTCTATGCGATCTCCTCAGCCATCTATTTAAAACTTTCTTGATTTTTTATTTGTTTGGACTTTTGAGTGATGAATTACTGGCCGATAGTTTCCCTATTTAATGAGTTGTTCGGTGTTCGATGAACGTACATGTTGCAACCTATTTAAGAAATTAGCGATGACTAATTTTGACTGAAATAATGAAATAGCTGTTGATGAGCTGTGCTAATGATCCGGTAATCAGATCAGTCGACAGATCATAGACCCTTATCTATGACTTTTCTCTAAATCTAAATACAAACTAGCAAATATAATATTTATAATTTTCCAATTTACTGTATGTATGTCCGTATGCACTACATATAGTCTGCAGCTTACCTTTTCTTTTACCAATGACATGGTTCAAGCTGTTGACAATGCGAAGGAAGCATCCAAAGTCAAGGTCAGGATAATCAGACTTTGGGATGGCCTAAATCCCAACAGACATGATAGTTATTAATAAAGGTCGGAATAAATATTCCCCTCGCAAATAATATTGGTATTTATGGGTATTCCCAGAGAGCTCTCACATTTACTATAAACGTTAACTAAAAGATCTGTAGTTCATTAGGTCGATCGTATTACCATGACTTGATCAATCAAGAATTTGTGTTAAAACCAATATTAGTTGCGCACTTCAGGGACGCTCGCACATTAGGAAGAAAGATCTTAACACCCACTAGAACGGATACCCTCATCTCAATCAGGCGGTAAGCCCCATCTCAATCGGGCACAGCGTCCGTCACAGGCTAGAAGTCACTGATGTGAAGAGTTATCTCAATCGGGCAAACGGCCGTCACGAATGAATATATCTCAATCGGGCCCTAAGTAAAGCCCGTCACCGATAGCTTTGATCCAGACGACCAGTCAAACTATAGCCCGTCACAGATGACCTAT